GATGAACTACAGAGGTCTATTACATGAGAATCAGACGAAACTGTATTTTTATATACTCGGAGATGCTCCGTCTCCAGGAGAAAGAAATTTTATAATTAAGCGCTGTCCACTCGCTGGTCTTCGATCGTTTCCCTACGACATCTTCCCGCAACATTTTTCAAAAATCTATGCGTAAGATTTTTCAAAAATTCTAATCTACTTTAAAAGATTTCTGGTTTTTTTAAAACAATTTTTCTTTGAAGAGCTGAGAACTGAGAAAGCGAAGCGAATTAAGGTTGCTAATTGCAATCAAGATAAGCTTTTGAGCAAGATAGAAGTTGTAATACTCGCTCAGATTCACTCTAATAATAACGTGAAAGGTTACTTTATACCGCGTCATCCCGAAAGAATAGCCTTGTTAGGCCCACCCGTACGTAAAAATAAAAAGTTTAAGCCCTAATATTCAAGGAGCTATTTATATCGTCCTCTCCATTTACTATTTTCAATATTAAGGCTTGAAAGGAAATGACCGGAAGAGCTTGTAACTTATGAAGCAGAACCACACAGTGCTAAATGAAAAAATATCTGTAGGAATTATGATAGATCTTGCCAAGATACAGCTTGTTCAAATTTCTGTTCGCTGTTCTAATTCAGGTTAAGAAAATAGAAAGTGTAAAAGCTTAATGCATGTGAATCCACTGAAACAGGCATTCAACTATGTTTGGCCGTATAGAGAACTAGGGGAATAGCAGCAAAATTTAATGTTGTTGAATGCACGTTCTGGAATAAAAAGTGAAGAATAGAGTAGCTCTGAAAAAAAACTAATTATATGAACAAATTTCAAAGAGTTCTGCTCCACACTGATGAACTATAGATGAACGGTAGATGGAAATCAAACGAAACTGCTACCTATGTACTGGGCAGCACGCTGCTTGAAAAAGAAAAAGAACCTGTTGCTCAACGGTTCCCTCTTGCTGATCTTCTACTGTTTTGATACAACATGTTTTTGCAGCATGTTCACATTTTAAAAATGTAGGAGTAAGATTTTAAGTAAATTTCTGTTTGTTTTGAATAATTTTTTTTGAAAATTGTGACGATGAAAGTTGTGCAGTTGATCAAAAATGATAAGACGTAACTCAGTTTAGCTTGCGAGAAGAGAGATGTGAGAAAAGATGTGAATTTTTAGTTTAAAACATCAGTCAGAACATCAGGTTGAAAGTTAGTAAGGGAATTTAAAGTAGTGCAAGGGCTGCTCACATGTAAGTTATTCTGTAATGCAAAGAACGGAATGATTGCGGAAATTTAGTTCTTGTAAATAAGTGCAATTTTGGAAGGCCTACATAATGCCACATTTTGGTGTTACGGTCTTTATTGGCATGGTGAAATGAGGAAAACTGTGATTAAAAGAGTGAGTCAGTATTACTTAATCTATGATCGTATCCCAGCTTCTTACGGTCACCACCCAAAACTTGATCATTTACATGAGAAAGTCCGCTTGAATTTTAAAATAAAAACACCAATTATCGTTGGTGAAATCTTTGTATTTCTGCTGTAAACCTTTGACTCTACTTTATACAGAAACTAAGGAGTGTTTTAGTCTTTTCCGCAATATAATCAATAGAATTTTAAACTATGTCAGGCGAAAAAATCACTGGAGAGAGAATTTGTTTGCATGATTGCGGGTGACGTGAAAGCACCAAAAAATTTACAAAGACAGTTTTTGGTTGAAGGTTCCATTTTTATCACATCGTGCTACAAAATAATATGCTGAAATGTCATCGAATTATCGAAAACAGAACAAATACGTAATTTAGAAAAAATTTTTCATGTCAGTCGCGAGTCCACAAAATTCTGAAAGTAACAAATTGTTAGTTAGTGATCATCCTACAAAGGTTCTGATGAGAAATCATCAAACAACGTTTGTCTATATTTTTTTAAAGAAGAATCATGGTTATAGTTGGAAAAAATCAATAAATTTTTGTGTGGTTTTAAAAAAAACTATAGATCTGCTGAGTCTTTTTGAATGCCAAATTTATTAAATAACAAGTCCTAAACAACAAAGAAGCGGAACAGTGATTAAAAATGTTGCAAAATAATCATTTTAATGACTACAGAATTATAACAGAAGTCATTCCTAACTTATCCGCTGTTTTTAATGAAACACTTGCTATTCAGTCGAAAAGAGCTGATAAAAAGTAGTAAAAAATGATTTTTTAGAGTTTTTTGCAATAATATAAGCGAGGAGCTCTACGAAACGACAAATATCAGCATTACCACCATTAGTTTCCGCTTCAAGAAAATATTTATGCGCTTTAGAAAGTTAAAATCTGCATATGTCAGAAATCTTAAAAACGTTCTGACCTATTTCAAAAAGACTGTATTTTTTTAAAAATAGTCTAGTTTCAGTGAAACTTTTCAACATTTCGTTTACTAA